AGCAGCCAGAGCAGGGCTAGAGCAGTCAGAGCAGGGCTGGTGCAGCCAGAGCAGGGCTGGTGCAGCCAGAGCAGGGCTGGTGCAACCAGAGCGGGGCTAGAGCAGCCAGAGCAGGGCTAGAGCAGTCAGAGCAGGGCTGGTGCAGCCAGAGCAGGGCTGGTGCAGCCAGAGCAGGGCTAGAGCAGCCAGAGCAGGGCTGGTGCAGCCAGAGCAGGGCTGGTGCAGCCAGAGCAGGGCTGGTGCAGCCAGAGCAGGGCTAGAGCAGCCAGAGCAGGGCTGGTGCAACCAGAACAGGGCTAGAGCAGCCAGAGCAGGGCTGGTGCAGCCAGACGGTCCAGCCGTGCGCCGTCGGGCTGACGCCAGGTCCAGCGGCGACACCAACCGTGCAGCACCCTGCTGAAACCGTGCGATGCGCTCAGAAACCGTTCAGCTCCCTGTGCAGTTGCTCTTTTTCGTTTAGATTTCTGCAGGTGCAGCGAGAGCGCGAAGCCAGACTCCCATCCCAGCCATATCACGAGAACATCGCGAAATGCAGTCGTGGAGGCGGGTGATTGAGTGGAATGTGATGTATCACCGTCAGAGAAAAAAAGAAATTGATTATTTTCCGATTAAATCGGCATTGATTATGATAATCATCTTCATAGTTTGTCATCCTGACCGCCATTTGTTCCGCAATTTCGTGCTGGGTGGTCCCAGGGCAAGGCCTCGGTGGTGCGGCCGATACCAATTTGATTAACTTCCATAAGGCGGACTGATTTATCGATGTAACGGGTGCGTGAATGTTCCGAGATGAGCTCGGGATTGTCGCGCCGGCTGGGGACCCGACCTGCCAAGAGGGGTAGTTGTCGCTTTTTCCACTATGCGGGATAAAAGTGAAGGCATGCGCCGCCCCATCGCGGAACTCTAAATCTTCAGTGTGTCAAGCACCTCACGAAGTGTACGATTCTTGAGATCGTCAGGTTTTTACCCATTAAGGACTGCCTGATGCTGTCAGATACGATTATCTTCGCCAATGACATGGATTGGGAGCGTTCTTGGCGCACTTTTAAGCTTTTAGCTTGTCATGCCGAAACGACACCACGCGGAATGTAAAGAATTCCATGATCGTGTCGGGCACCGGCAGACACTTCTGCCGTGCAGAATCAGCACTTTGTCAGGCGCAATGCCTTACCAACTACGCTGACGGCATCCTGTGGAGGTCTGGATGCGCTGACGCGTCCGGCGCCTAACAGCGGGAGCCGAAGCGATCTGCAGGCGGGTTGTGGGCGGGGCCGCATGACTGTGCAGGCCTGCTGTCATCACTCGCTGTCGCCTGGGCATTAAGAGGCTAATTTATAAATGGAGGCTGTTAGACAGCTCGCGTGGTGCCAAATGTTTCCCAGTCCATTACGGGGAGTAAATTATCGTGACTATTAACCATCGCCATACAGGTTTTTACCTGCAGCCTACGGGGGAGGACTCAGATCCGCTCCCCGCCCCAGACACCGGAAACTAAGCAAGCTAGAGCCAGAGCTGCAGAAAATAAAATTAGAAAGCTCTTGTCAAACGGTATCAGGTAGATATGACTAAACAATGGTGAATGTGGTCTTTGCCAAGTCAAATGACGCCAAAGGTTTCAGATAGGACTCCTGTTATAAACAGGAGGGGTTCGTTATTTCAAAAACGAATTGCATATCACGATTATGCTAATTGCAACAACTACGCAACAAACGACGTTGAAGTTTCATGTAAAATTCATCTGAAGAGCAATGGTAGAAATTGACGGGCGTGAGCTGTTTTATGTCATGTCATGCCATCAAATGCATGACAAATCTTGCTAGATGGGCGCGTCGGGCCATATCCAGAAGTAACCATGCCAACGGGGAAAACAGCATTAGGAAGGTTTTCCAATCTGTAAGATATACGTCACAAAGGTTAAGTCTTGTGACTCGTTAGATCTGGTCACAAATCTTTTTGGACCTAACTTGTCCTTGGATGATCTGACCTTTCAAAGACGGTCAATACTGTATAGATGCACTTTAGAGTGATAGAGTGGAGAAAAGGAATCTGAAACATCTTTTTGGAGAGCATTTTCACAGAGGAAGAAGGGTCATTCATTACTTAAAGCGAGTGTTCCACATTTGTATGGGGTTTTGAACTGAAACAGCCATCTTGAAGACGATTCGGTGCAGTATACAGCCCTATGTGCAGACTAATTCTGGGAGACCATGTCAAGGTCACCCAGGCATCCGTGACGCCATAATGACGTTATTCATGTTGGGCCATTTCGTTAGCCATGCAGCCATCAAGGCCAATAAAAAATATATTGTCGGGTCGTTCATACCTGGCGTTCGTGAGCACGATTTCCAGGAATAGCGGCCGTCAATTGGCCCTCGATCAATGTGGTGTAAGCTACGATGACGTAATCAGTGACGTTTGGAGAGCATATGACTAACCAGAGGAACTGTGTTGTCTAGAGCAGTCTTCTCACTTAAAAGTTATACTAATCGTATAAGTGAGCTTATTTCATCACATCTGGTATTTTCACACTTTACTCCGAATTGCAAGACCATATGAAAATCAATGGGTTGTTTTCTGTTTGGTATGAGGGGACACGCACGATTACTTCATGCACGGTTTCAACCAGTAGTTTTAAAGAAGATACATTACGTATGTCAAGACGGGAGCTCAAATCTTTTGAATTCATGTCTGCAGGTAATTGCGGCTCCTAGTTCTCGTAATTTTCTTTCCGTTTAAGCACTGCTTATTGAGTTAGCTCTCCCTGCACTTACACTTTTTAGCAACACCTTTTGCATATGTTGTACACACTGGGCGCCGTATAGGGGATCGGTTTTACAGCTCTGCACATGAAATCCCGGAACAGATCGGATCAATTTGTCGATATCCATAAACTTGCCTGATAAAAACAACTTGCAATTGTCCGTTTTCCATAATGTCGGACTGTTACATGCGCTTCATGAGCAACATAAGGGGTCGCCTCCCGTCGCTGATTTCGCAACCAGGGGCAGCCTTGAGTGGTCGAGCTGCAATTAAAGTCCCGTGTCGCCACAGCACCCGTGCCTCAGGGCGCGTGACGTCACCGATCATTACCTCACGTTGCACGTTCTGTTGCAACGCCGGTCATACATTGGAGCTGCTGCGGTAAACAAGGGCGTGCCGGACAGGCATAGGTGCGCTCACTAACTCTTCGTCCGATGCCCTCCCACACGGCGACACTCGAGCCGAGACTGGGCCTCAGCACGCACAGGCTGGCTCGCGCCTCACTCGAGCCGAGACTGGGCCTCAGCACTCACAGGTCGGCTCGCGTCTCACTCGAGCCGAGACTAGGCCTCAGCACGCATAGGCTGGCTCGCATCTCACTCGAGCCAAGACTGGGCCTCAGCACGCACAGGCTGGCTCGCATCTCACCCGAGCCAAGACTGGGCCTCAGCACGCACAGGCTGGCTCGCGTCTCACGCGAGCCAAGACTGGGCCTCAGCACACACAGGCTGGCTCGCATCTCACTCGAGCCAAGACTGGGCCTCAGCACGCACAGGCTGGCTCTCATCTCACTCGAGCCAAGACTGGGCCTCAGCACGCACAGGCTGGCTCTCATCTCACTCGAGCCAAGACTGGGCCTCAGCACGCACAGGCTGGCTCGCATCTCACTCGAGCCAAGACTGGGCCTCAGCACGCACAGGCTGGCTCTCATCTCACTCGAGCCAAGACTGGGCCTCAGCACGCACAGGCTGGCTCGCGTCTCACTCGAGCCAAGACTGGGTCTCAGCACGCACAGGCTGGCTCACGTCTGAAACAGGCGGCCGCGATTTAGTGATAAGCGCTGATGGAAATGTTATTTTCGTTCCCGGGGTAGTGATGAAACGACCAATCAGCTTCGAATGATGGCCAGTTTGTGATAACCCCTCGGAACATTTTTGAGAAAAGCCAATTTACTGATGTGTCGATGACAAACAGCTCTGTCATACTGAAGGGCCCACTTTGATGCGCTGTAAGGTTTCGCACAATCTGCATGGCGAAATCAAGTCTCTATGTCCCAATGCTGAGCCCGAAAAGCCGTGGTCTCATCACATAACACGATGAATCTAACCTTGACTTTGTTTCATTCACGGCAATAACCATTTACCTCATATCTTTGGCAGTAAGTAAGGTCGTTTTTCTGTTGTAGATACGTAACAGCATAAGCGCTTTGTTCACTTTTAGCAGCATCGTTTCAACATTCGCTTGTGCCGCACGCTCTTTGTATTTTATCTTGAATGTGGGCCAATTCCTAGATAAAGTGTTGCTCAATGTAATGCAGAACCGTGGGCAATTATACTCGCGAGAAAACAGACTATTGCTACGAACTTTGTGCCTTCAAAACCACGTGCCTCCGGCGTGCGAAGCACACTTCTACCCCATGTCTCACTCCCCTGAAGCAGTCGTCCGGAGTCGGAGCGGCTGGGCCACGCACTGGACCAGCGTCGGGCGGTCGGGACCGGACGGTCCACTGGTCCGGGACCGGACCGCCGCCGGCGTGCCGACGCCGGCGGCCACCGTGGCGGTCCGGTCTCGGCCGGCCCCGTTTACGGGTCACGGCACGGAGCCCGCCCACGGAGGGCTCCCGGCTGCGGCGCCTCACTAGCCCGGCGGCGGCCGCGGCGTGCCGTCCACGCACGCGGCTGGTCCTCCGTGCCGCCGTCGCTGGTCAGAGGGTCTGCGGCGCGGGGAGCGTGGAGGTGGCGCGTGGAAGCGCGACTGGGCAGGAGCTTAGTGGGCAGCAGTCGCGTGGACGAGTGGCAGTGCGGGAGAAAGAGTGCGAGATGCCTGGAGGCACAGGCGACAAGCAATACTGGTCGCTGTGGGCGGAAGCAGTTGTCGCAGGAGCTGCAGAGAAGGCGTGAGGGAGGACAGCAGAAAGGAGCGGAAGGAAATTCTGGCGCAGTGGAGCGAGCGGGATCAGCTCGGTAGAGACACTAGGCATCAGTCACCAGCAGCCACCAGCGAGCGCCAGCAGCGGTGCCATGCCCCAGGGCTTGGCCGACAGTCGCCGCCACTTGGCGCTGTCGAAGATCGCGCGCCACGAGCACCGCCACCGGCAGCTGGCCGGCAGCTGCAGCGGCCGGCAGCTGGCCGGCGGCTGCAGCGGCCGGCTCTGGCCGCCGCCGCTGCTTGAGGGCGCCTGGCCGGGCCGCTGGGAGCTGGCGGTCGTGCCCACCGAGCGGCTGGACTCGGCAACACCCGCGCAGCTGTGGCCGCACTCTGCCTCGGCGCCCCTACCGCTCTGCGCCTGGCGGCCCGGCTGGCACCTGTGCCGCCCGCCTCGACACGGCGGCTGGACAGAGTGCTCGCACGTAAGCTGGAGTCAGTATCCTCATCTAATTTAGCGCTATCTGCACTGAAGTGGTAAAACACGCGGTGCGTCAATGCATTCCGGCATCCGGTTGTAAAGGCGTGTTCGCAAACTTCTCCCAAATGTCCGCCGTTAGGGCCGCCCATATGTCCGCTGTTAGGGGCCGCCCAAATATTCCCCGTTGGGGCCACCCCCGTCAAATCTGTAGTTGAGGGCCTATTAGATGCATTGTGAATGCAGAAGTAGACAGAAATCCGTGGTCACGACGAAAATTGGCACAATGGTGCCGTTTATGCCAGCATTTTCTTCCAACGCCTCCTTCTGCGGCTAAAAAGGTAACTTCTGTACGCAGTCAAGCTTAATGTGTTTTTATTCGCTCGAAGGTAACACCAATCCATACTGCGTGTTCCGTGCAGTGACCAAGCCGCTCGCGCCGCACCGCCAGCGAAAGGAGGACTCCACATATTGGCGTGAAGCACGTTTTCACCAGTCCCGCCTAATCCAGGTTACAGGAGGTCATCTCTCCTGAACGTGCCCGGGGCAATTTCGCAGCGAAACGCGCCGAGACATTAGCTGAGCAGCGTGCCTAACACACCATGAGGAGCGCCGGTGGAGCATAAGCTCCCCCTCTCGTGAGCCTGTTGAACTAGCTCGCGACTAACAACAGTAACTTGCCGAACGCGCTTACTTTCGTTGGCTGCCATTGCCTTATGTACGGACCAGTACATGAGGAAATAAATTGTTAAACATGAACGGGCTTTGTCTGCTCATTAAATTACAGGTCAGTCTGAATAATGACCTGCAGTTTAATGAGCAAACATCCTTTCCGCTCTATTCTCGAAAGTTAGTGTTCGTGTTCGAGCGTTTGAAAGTCTACTGGCTGACAATCCGTCCCACCGGTTTTGATCACTGCGAGATAGTGCGAATATGATGACTCTAGGATGAATATATTTATGTATATATTATATATATATTATATATGCATATATATATTATATATATATATATATAGCTTTCTTACTAAGAAGTGACTAACATCAACAAACGTTAATCAACTCATGAATATTATATTACTCTGGACCCGTTTCACAGAGCAACGGCCGCATCATCAGGCAAAATAACACACGTTCGGTGTAAACCATTATGATGTAGGACACGCGTCATTTGCTGTATTGTTATTATATTGAGTTGAAAATACCACAGATGCACGTGCAATGACACACGACCAACCCCTAATTCTACAGACACATATCATCTTACACAATTTCTAATGGGTATGATGGCCATGTAATGTAGCGGCGAACGTTTCTTGGTAATGTATAAGGGCTCCAGGATTTTCAAATCAAGCGAGGAATATGTCCTGCCCAAGATACCAAACTTAGAAGCCAAAACTGAGGTGTCACATGCAAATAAATGTTCTTATATGGGGGAAGGGTGAGGTTTACAAGGAGTTTTCCCGTCCGGATAGATTTACCTAAATGCTGCTGAATGTGCCTGTGCGAGTTCCGAAAGGATGTGGGATGCCCCACATAGGCTCATGCCCCATGTAGGTTTGTCAGTGCGTGTTGTAAGCCATGATGGTTTGTACTGAGCTCGTGTGTTCTTTTTCCTGATGATGCAGCCGCTATTGTAGGGAGCAATATTGTGAATGCATACAAATACAAAAATACAATACAATATTGTGTGAATATATATATATATATATATATATATATATATATATATATATATATATATATATATATACACCACATGATATTAAGTCACGATGTGCACGTGGAAGTGCCCTCCGGACATAACAGAATGGCGTTCTGTGGACCCTTCGTTGCTTGCAATTCGTCAGTCTGGCGGTTTTCGGCTGCATGCAGCATGACCGCGTCGCTGCTGCTGTCTTTGACGCCGGCTGAACGTGGCGCAGCGCTGCGGCGTTCTCCGTCGGCGTCGGCCGCGTATCTGAGCCAGGCACGCCTGCCGCAGCCCGCGAGGAGCAGCTCGGTGGAGAGGCCGCGGTTCGTACCTGTGACGTCACTGGAGGACGTGCAGGCCGTGCGCTGCGCTGAGTTCCACCCGTTCGGCAAGCTATATGCTGTGGGATCCAACTCCAAAACGCTCCGCATCTGCGCTTACCCGAAGCTGGTGGACCTCAGGTGAGGCGGCGCGTTGGGTATACGTACATGCAAATGTATTCCATAGATATGCATTTATTTTAAGTGACGTCCCAACCTGTGTAACCCGTTGTAAGGCAATTCAAAGGGGATGATCATGCATTTCTAGGTCACCTCATTTGTTCCAAAATTTCCCTACAGTCTTCCCACTCACCAAAGTCTTACTTATTGTATAAATAACAGCACTGTGTATATTTTGTATCGGTGCTGGTCTTCCTAACTTACCATGGAGCCGGAGGTTTCTTTGACCCTCCAGTACATATCATGACCTCCTGACAAGTCTCTCCGGACCAGCACAGCACGCAGTCTTCCTCAGCTCCCTTTGTCACGCGCCGCTCGCAGGGATGACCAGGTGACTTACCAGCCGACGGTACTCCTGAAGCGGACCAAGCACCACAAGGGCTCCATCTACTGCATGGCCTGGAGCCCGGTGGGCGACCTGATTGCCACCGGCAGCAACGACAAAACCATCAAGCTGATGCGCTTCGATGCCGACTCATGCTCCGTGGAAGGTATAGTGCGCGGAATCACAGTCATTGCGGCGTTCGTGCGGAGGGTACACCTATCACTTCTGCACGTTACAGGCGCGCAATTTCACGCAAGGTTTCATCGAATCTCACGCAGCGTTTCTGTTACCTTGATCTCACGCTAAGCTGCACGGTCGCTGACT